AAGTCGTAACAAGGTTTCCGTAGGTGAACCTGCGGAAGGATCATTACCACACCTAAAACCTTTTCATGTGAACCGTTTCAAAAATAATATTGGGAACGAGTTCGGCTGACTTAATTGTTGTCAGTTACTGCTAGACGAGTTCTATCATAGTGAAGTGGTTTGAAAAACTGTTCGAGCTAGTAGCTATCTTTAAACCATTACTTAATACTGATTATACTGTGGGGACGAAAGTCTTTGCTTTTAACTAGATAGCAACTTTCAGCAGTGGATGCCTAGGTTCGCACATCGATGAAGAACGCTGCTAAATGCGTATCTTAATGCGAATTGCAGGATTCAGTGAGTCATCAAAATTCTAAACGCATATTGCACTTCCGAATTAGTCCTGGAAGTATGCCTGTATCAGTGTCCGTACAATAATCTTGGTTTTTATCCTTCCGTGTAGTCGTGGAAGATATGCCAGATATGAAGAGTCTTGCGACTGGTCTAAAGCTATTTGCAAGTCCTTTCAAATTTACTCAAACAAGTATAGCAGTTCCGGTTATAAAATAATTTGTTTCAAGTCGGCGATTAGTAATTTTGTCACAACAATGAAAGATTATTGAATTTGCACAATGTTAAGATTTTGCTTTACAATGCGCCTTTTAAATATGATTTCTGTTGCAGCTTGATTTTCTGGCGAACCATAGGTCTAAACTGCTTTAGAATTAGTTTTGCTATTAGAAGACAGTCACTTGTAGCCAAACTGCGATTAGCGTAATAAAAATTGTTATATTGTACACTATTTATTTCGGTTAATAGTGTTTTGATAAAACTCTATCTGTTGCTGCATAATGAATCGATGAACCGTAGTTACCAGTGGTTATCTCTTAATCAATATTGCGTTTGCGAAAGATTTTGCTTGTATAATTCGGTAGCTAGTTTTATATTCTCAAGCATTAAGATTTTTGATTAATTTATTTCATAAGTTCCGGCTTCTTAATTATCTGTTCATAAATGTTTTTACCAATAGTATATTGTTCTATATACGTAGTTATGAATATAATATCTCTCCGTCCGCATTGTTGTGTGAAGATTATCACTTGTAGCTTGTTGGCCACCAATTTATTTTAAGCATAATGAAAATTGTTATATTGTACTTTATTAAATTCGGTTAATAGGGTGTTAATAAAACTTGTTTTTTGTTTGCGTTTATTCAATTAGTGATACACAAGCTGTCGATATTGCCCTTGTCGTGCTGGATCAAGCTGCTGCACGGTACCACGTGTCGTCGAATAAATGTGATCGCGAGATTCATGATGAAGCCATGAGGAATTAAAATAATGCGGTCACGAGGGCGAGCCAGTACATACAAGATACTGCGTTCGACTTCCAAGCAAGCAACTCCGAGAAGTCCACCAAACACTTCTTTCGTCCACTTGACACAAGCTTGAGAAGGGTACCGATTGAGGAGGTGATC